AAAAATGATGTAATCATTCCATCAACCAGTTTAACCACTTGCCTACCGGGCACTTTAGCCCCCTTTCTGCCCAGGCCAATTTTCAGCTTTCAGTGCTGTCGCACTTTGAATGACTATTGCGCAGTCATGCAACACTGTACCCAAATGAAATTTTTTTGAGACATGTATAGCTTTCTTTTGGTGGTATTTACTCACTACTGGGTTTTTTTATTTTTTGCTAAACAAACGAAAAAATACCAATAATTTGGAAAAAAGACAATTTTTTTCTTAGTTTCTGTAATAACATTTTGCAAACAGGTAATTTTTCACCTTCACTGATGTGCGCTGATAAAGCTGCACTGATAAGCACTGATATGTAGCACTAATGGGCACTGATAGGCTGCACTGATGGGTACTGATGAGGCAGCACTGATGGGAACTGATAGGCTGTACTGATGGGCACTGATGAGGCTGCACTGATAGGCGGCACTGAGGTCACTAATAGATGGGACTGGTGGCACTTATGGATACTGACTGGCAGTACTGATGACACTGACTGGGAGCACTGATGGACAATGTTGGGACTGCACTGATGGACACTTCTGGGACTGCACAGATAGACACTGTTGGGGCTGCACTGATATCCCCTTGGGGCTTCACTGATGTCCTCTGATGTGTGAATACACTTGCCGATTACCTTTTCTTCTTTCCTGTGACAGCGTGAGGAAAGTGCAGTCGATAACCAGCAACTGTATATACATTGTCCAATGACACAGCTGATCAAGTGGTAAAAGGGTGCTGTGATTGGCCCTTTACCATGTCATGTGATCAGCTGTGTCCAAAGGACACTGCGATCACAGGGCTTGCCGAGTGCACGTCCGAGGGAGTGGGCGGGAGGTGTGGTTCTGGGATACGTCATATGACACCCTGCCAGAGCTAGATGACCACGTTGTAGCTGTCATTCAGCTATAACCCAGTCAGCAAGTATTTAAAGGATACATGCTAATGTAAAAATGAAATAGCACACATGTCAAGCAAGTGAGAGAGAACTTTAGAAACAGGGATGCACATAGTTGCACACATGGCATTGCAAGTATAGCTGTCTACGAGCCCATTCACACATTGCTGATTTCTAGGGATTTTTTAGGTCTCATTCACATGGGCGCTGAGGCCTGTACACGGTGAATGGGCTATGTGTTTATGTAGCTTGAGCCACCGGGTGCTGCAAGCAGGCATCCCATGCAAGTCTAAGGAGATGTTCTCTGATTAGATGAGATGGAGAGTGTAATGTTACCACCCTGTCTCTCCACCTTTCCAATCAGACAATACTTTGCGTTAATTCAGAAGATGCAAAGCATTCTCCGATTGGTGCCTATGCTGAGCGGCTGACCTCGTCTTCAGAATGCATCAAGCCAGCCTCTCAGTCTGGGCCCCAGAAGCAAGTGGAGATCACTGAAGTAGCGGCAAGTTTTTTTAACTCTGAGAATAGAGAGAATGGTAACTCCACCTTTCAAGTCACTCCTTGTTTCCGCCCCTACCCTCCTCTGATCACTGCTTTTTGGTTCCACCCCTTACCCACCTTCCAGTACCACGCCTTTTAGAGAATACAGAACCAAGTATAATTTGGTGGTGCTAAGTAATTTGTATAGAATTACAAGAAAAGCAGTAAAATTCATCCCCTGCAGCCAGCAACAATAGACTCCCCCAACAACAATAGACCCCCCCAGCAACAACAGACCCTCCTGCAACATAATAACCCCCCACAATATTAGTTCCACCCCAGCAACAATCAACAAACCTTCCAGCAGCCATCAAAAATAGACCCCTCCCTCAACAGTAGATCCCCCAGCACATCTTGCCATTACATGCTGGAGGTCATTCACGCTGAAAAAAAGGCACAGAGAGTGGGGATAAATCTCCCTAATAGAGCCCCATTAAAAACCTGACAAGGGTTCTAGCCCTTTCCCAGTATGTGGCTGGGCATACAATTTAAGGACTCAAACTTAGATTACACACACAGCTGGATGAATCAGATGAGTAACAAATACCCCCCACCCCAACCTTGTTTTCACTGATCAGCAGCTTCTCTAGACTTTTGCAAAGAGAGAGCCTCTAAAGCAAAAGATAAAAAAAACTTTATAGTTTTCTTTAAAAATCATTTTCTTGCCTCATACATTGTCAGAAACAATGAGTGGCTGCACAGCAAAAAAAAACTGAAATCTATACGTACACCAAAAACACCAGTCTTTTTAGTGTAGATTTGTTTTTTTTTTTCTGTGCAGCCACTAGTGTCTATCTGAAATGTAAGTGCAAAGTCATTATAACTGCAGAATTATCACAGGAAATGTTCTTAAATATTTTGTAGCATTTGACTTGAGATTGAAAACCTTCCATGATATTATTTATTTGGATAGGAATGTTATTTATAATGTCATTTATGACTTCATGTATCCATCTAGTTGCAGATTTCTGCTCCATAGTTTATACAAGGTACCAGTGATCTAGTATGTACCAGGCATACCTCCATCTTGCAACCATTCAGTAAGATTCATGTGTTAAACATGACAAGTTCCTGGTAAACAGTGATGAGGCTCCTTGTGTTCATCCTGGGCTCTGTAAAATGTTAGATTCCAGCTAACTACAGTACATGAAACACATGGAGATGTTAAGAGTTATTTCCACCCATTTACAGGCTACATCACCTTACTTCAGGATTGGTGGTGGACAGCTGGCCATAGTTTTCTTTTAGTTAGCATTTTATTTAGTTGCTGTAGCTTAGGACAGCACTATTTTATGATCTAACAATAAAGGGGATTGACTTTTCCTTGTAACAGAGGAATATAGGACCCTTGATATCTCAGTAAAAAGTGTTGGCCCCTTACAGGTCTGTTAGGTGTGTTCATTAGTGCCCAGCAAATCCGAAACCATCTTATAATGACCTATCCAATGTATATCTTCACAGTTGGTAACAGTGCCACAGATTTAAAGCACTTTTTGGTTAACTGGTGAATAATTACAACACTTCCATGTAAAGGTGTTGTTTTTACACCAATTCTTTTTCCATCTCTATGCAGCTAGATGCCAAAAGTTCCCTTTTCTATGGAGAAACATGGGCAAATGTGTTTCTCCATATGTCCATGGCATCTATACTGTGAACATGTCATAGAGAAGATTCTTCAACCTTAACATACAGAGCCAATCATGAATTTCAGCACTCATTGTTCTCAGTGGGACACACACTGTGTAGTATATGCCTCACAGTTTTTGGAAAATTAGTGAAATTGAAGTTCAAACAGTCTATATTTGTCTGAAACAGTGGATGAATTGGCTACCATTGGTCTAAAATCCCAAGTTTCTATTTAACATGGCTCTAAAATCTCACTTTTCAGTGTGCCATTGTTCTGGAACCCCAGGTATCATTGTTGCATCATTCTGGAACTCCAAGTATCCCTGTGTAATTACTCTGTAACTCCATGTATCTCTATGCCATTGTTTATAAATCCAAAGTATCTTGGCATTGCTGTGGGATTGATACTGTTCTAGAACCCCACATGTCAATGTGCCGTTGCTCTGGAAGCCCATGCATCAGTGTGCCATTAGTCTGGAACCTCCACATGTGCCTTTTAACAGCAGAGCCATGACGAGTATTATTTCTGTTTTTACAGGGCACTGCATCGGTTCTGCAGCGCAGATCTGACAACGAAGAATATGTGGAAGTGGGCCGATTGGGACCCTCAGACTATTTCGGTAAGTCAGTTTCTGTTCTGGAAGGACCTACAGATGGTGACAAGCAGGCCTTTAGAAAGGATCTCTCTCTCTCTCTCTCTCTCTGTCATCTATGCCACCTCTTGGGGCCAGCATGAGGGGCTTGGCTTTTTAATTGTACATTATACATTATGAAGAATGCAACAGGAGAAAGGAAAACACTAGTTTTATAGCAGCTAGAGTGTGACTTCAAGATGGGCAGGAACAGTACTGGGAACTGTTATGCAGAAAACTTTCTGCTGAAATCCAAAATATGGTAAATTCATACATATGCGCTTGCATTGCAACATCTCCTTGAGGTGATGTTTTGACACACTTCATGATAATTTGACATAACCATCTTATACAAAGGCCATATAATGTGCAACAGATAAAAAAAAAACCATATCTTTTATTTGAGCAATTCCTGCCAATGTACATACACTATATTGGTAAAAGTATTGGGATGTCGGCTTTTACACGCATGTAAACTTTAATGGCATCCCAGTTTTAGTTCGTAGGGTTCAATATTGAGTTGACCCATCCTTTGCAGCTATAACAGATTAAATACTTCTGAGAAGGCTGTCCACAAGCTTTAGGAGTGTGTCTATGGCAATGTTTGTCCATTTTTCCAGAAGCGCATTTGTGAGGTCAGGCACTGATGTCGAACGAGAAGGCCTGGCTCGCAGTCTACGCTCTAATTCATCCCAAAGGTGTTCTATCAGCTTGAGGATTCTGTGCAGGCCAGTCAAGTTCTTCCACCCTAAACTCGCTCATCTATGTCTTTATGGGCCTTACTTTGTGCACTTGTGCGCAGTCATGTAGGAATAGGAAGGGGCCATCCCCAAACTGTGCCCACAAAATTGGGAGCATGAAATTGCCCAAAATGTCTTGGTGTGTTGATGCCTTAAGAGTTCCCTTCACTGGAACTAAGGGGCTAAGCCCAACCCCTGAAAAACAACCCCACACCATAATCCCCCCTCCACCAAACTTTACACTTGGCACAATGCAGTCAGGCAAGTACCGTTCTCCTGGCAACCAGACACGTCCATTGGATTGCCAGACAGAGAAGCGTGATTGGTCACTCCAGAGAACACGTCTCCACTGCTCTAGAGTCCAGTGGTGGCGTGCTTTACACCACTGCATCCAACGCTTTGCGTTGCATTTGGTGATGTAAGACTTGGATGCAGCTGCTTGGCCATGGAAACCCATTTCATGAAGCTCTCTACGCACTGTTGTGTTAATCTGAAGGCCACACAAAGTTTGGAGGTCTTTAGCTATTGACACTGCAGACAGTTGGCAACTCTTACGCACTGTGCGCTTTAGCATGAGTTGACATGGCCTATCACTTTGTTACTGAGTTGCTGCTGTTCCCAGTTGCTTCCACTTTGTTATAATACCACTAACAGTTGAATGTGGAATATTTAGTAGCAAGGAAATTTCATGGATGGACTTATTGCACAGGTGGCAACCTATCACGGTACCACGCTTGAATTTACTGAGCTCCTGAGAGCGACCCATTCTTTCACAAATGATTGTAGAAGCAGTCTGCATGCCTAGGTGCTTGATTTTATACACCTGTGGCCATGGAGGTGATTGAAACACCCGAATCCAATGATTTTGAGGGCTGTTGCAATACATTTGGCAAAATAGTGTATATGTGAATTATCACTATTTAAAGAAATAGCAAACTCTTGCACATGCATTGATTCTGACTAAAGGGCATAGGTGTAAATATGCTCTAAATGTAAAAAAGCAGCAAAAGATTCTGTGAGCAAGGTTTAATAAAGGATCGGTGCATTGATCTTGTGCAAACAAGCAATTTGTTGTTGAAAATAAAAATAAAATATATGCTCCTAAGTAAGCAGTTTCATTTCAAAGCAACTCTGTTGCTATACAAAAAAATATTTGAACCAAGCCATATGTGTAAAAGAAGAGTATACATACTCATCTGTCCTGCTTAGTCCCATGCTGCCAAACTGCTGTGATGATGAGAAATTTGCTAAAGTTGGAAGGAAAACCAGCACTTTCAGGAGTGTCAATCTCAGTGGTCCCCCACATCTGTAACTGGTTCTTCCATTTGATGCATTACCCATTACAGCATACAACAATATCTTGGAGGTCAGCAGGAAGAACAGTGTGAACATTACATGCCTGATGAAGGGTTCTTGCTTGGCACCAAAATGTTGCATATGCACTAAATTTTGTGTGATTATATGATATGGATCCACGATGTGCAGGTGACATGTACACTCACTGGCCACTTTATTACGTACACCTTGCTAGTGCTAAGAAAATATCCCCCACACCATTACATCATCACCACCAGCCTGAACCGTTGATACAAGCAGGATGGATTCATGCTTTCATGTTGTTTACGCCAAATTCTGACCCTTCCAACTGAATGTTGCAGCACCCAGTCTGCCAATTCTCCTCTGACCTCTGACATCAATTCATCCACACAACTGCCACTCACTGGTACTTTCTCTTTTTCGAACCATTCTCTGTAAACCCTGTTCAGGTCAAAAAAGCATCACTGGATCAATATTATAACCCTCTTCAAGATACAAGAGTGTTTTTCTTTAACATAGTTTTCTACCAGGTTATAGTTTGTTTAATTTTTTTTTATTTTCTTATTTCTAGGTGAGATAGCCTTGTTGTTGAACCGGCCCAGGGCAGCCACAGTAATCGCACGGGGCCCACTGAAATGTGTAAAACTGGACCGCCCACGCTTTGAACGAGTCCTTGGACCGTGCTCAGAAATCTTAAAGAGGAACATTCAGAGATACAACAGCTTCATCAGCCTGACCGTTTAATATATTCCACTAGGAAAATACCATCCATGTGTTAACGTGTGCACTCTAAATCTGACCTGTGCAGTTCCATAGCTTTATAAGGAAAGGAAATTGTGCATTTCAATGTGAATTTTATATGGTCATGTCTGCTGCATCAGACTTCAACTTTAAGTTAGTTTGTATTATGATACAAAATTATGGCACTTTGATGGGGTGTGTATTGTCCCCAAAGATGTATGTGTGACTTATGAATTATTTCATTCGTAATCTTACCAAAATTGTTACAAAAATAAAGTCAGGGAAATAATAGTTTGCATCCAAACCTATACTGAAGCAGTTCTGTGGGGTTTTACAAAAATACAGTTCATAAGGTATGGGGATATTCAGTATACAGTATATGTATATCCTGCAGCTATTAATTTAAGTGAACACAATCTCGCCAACAAATATGCCCAATTTACCATTATATCTATAGAAATAATATAAAAGCCACTGTGTGATTTTTTTTTTTTTTTAGCACCACCTAGATAACCATTTTGTTTAGTTGTTGCAGAACATCAGAGGAAAATGATATAGGTTCCCATGTATCTAGGACAGTGGTGATCAACCAGAATGGTTTGCATACCCTGAAGGCTGCAGATTATAATGTTTCTGCCATTAGCAATAAAGCTGATTGAAAAAGATGCTGCACCGTCAGTGTCAAAAATGGCAGTACAATGCAAAAGTTTGTTTTATTCCTGTCCATTCACACTGATATAGAAAAGCAAAAAGAAGAAAAAAATGTAGCAAAGGTATACCGGTTGGACCTCACAGCTTTAGATCAGCCCCTTCATTATTTTGTTTACTACGTATTTTCTGTTTAAGAATATGCACAGCACTTGTCTAGGTGGGACCACAGTTATATGAATGTACAATAAGTTTAGTGTGTGTTTTGTACTTGTATCTCTATTTTTATGCGTCTGTTCAAGGCACAGATGCAGTTTCCATTCATTAAATACCCATCCAATTGGCACCTGCCATTGTAAGGTGGATCTGCATCAAAGTCACTCATTTACAGGTAGAACTTAGTAAAGGAAGTAAATTGTCACAGAGATATGTGGCTACAATTGAAAGCATTTCCTTTCAGGGCTTCATCTATAAGTAGAAAAGGAAAGGATTGAGCCCAGCTTTGGAACATATTAATGAACACAGGTGACTATTATTATTACTATTTTGTCCATTTGTGTTCTTTTGTAAAGATAATGCTGTTTCTTGCCCCCTGAAAAGTTACAGATTGGTTGGGCAAAAAAATCTGGCACCAACCATTGCATTATGTTGAGGATCTGGGGAGCACTACTCGTTACTGTTTAGACTATGCCATTTTTGAAGCTATGATCAGGAACGTTATGTGGCCACACAATACTGATACATTGGGCCTGTGTGTTGATTGGCTTTTGCTTGTATCAGAATTGCTTCTTGATCTGTTCAAGTCTATGGGGATGCAAAAGCAGCTTGAGGCAGGTCAAATGCACCTGCACTGAATTCTGACCTCTAATTTCAAATCTCAGATCTGATATCAAAAGCAAGTTGAATTTGGCCATTGGCACAAGCCCAAAGATTGTTGATACAAGCCCTTATAGACCTAGACCTGTGCTCCTTTAGGCAAGAGCCTAGCACATCTGAAGATAAATCTAGTTCTCATATGATAAGTTCAAGTCCAATTCATTTTGCGGAATTCAAGCAAGCTCATTTACCTAGTGTCTTGGCACTGGATACCCCAGTGTGAATATTTTCCTTTGTATGCCATTGATTCATAGAACAGATAGAGAATACACCAGGGTTTGTATAACACTCTTGCCATGTAGAGAGGTTTCTGGTTTGGGAAAGAAGATGATACATCTATCCACCAAGGTCCTCAAAAATATGCTGATTAGCAGAACCCACTAGCATTCACTTAAAAACTGAAAATTAGCTTTGCGTTGACTTACTATTTCATTTGCAGAATCATTCCCAAGGAATATAAAATATACAAGGAATTATAAAATATAAAGAAAATCAAGGAATATACGATCTTGGTCAAGGAATGCATGTATGAAACCATTTAGCTTTCCCCTCACGTTATCAGTTCTGATGAAATTCTTTTTGTAATATGGACAAGCTCCTTAATGACAAGGAGTTTGATGCACTGCACTGAGTGCTCCACATTTTATGATGTGCTCTTTGTTTATTTAAATGTACAGGCTGCTTTAAAACCAGGTTTTGTAACAGAGAACTTCTAGGTGTGGTCCTTTGTGTATTTAAGTGTCAAAAGTAGGTAGACCTTTGCAGACCCATCAAGCAGTGCTTTTGTATACGTTTTATAATGTCTGTACAGTTTGCTGTCAGTATGTGTGGCAAAACCCCCAGTGGGCAACATTATACATTCCATACTTAGTTCATATGATGGCACATCAGGATTACTTCAGATATTAAACATGTGCTGTTTGTCCTGGTAACCAGAGGAAGACATAATCTGTTTGAAAAAAGATTTATTTTTAAGTCTAGTAACAACCAATCAGGATGCACTCTGTGGAATTCAGACCAATAAAATTTGTAACATTTACTGGATTCTGATTTGTTAGTATTGATTCACTTAGAAGTTAGAATTCATTATCGAGCAAGGCCAATAGTAAGCTTGTGGACTTCTACAAGATACCTGTTAAGCTGGCTGTATACTAGTAGAATTTTGTTTGAAATTTTTCATTTTAGGAATGTTTATTTGATTTTTCAAAAATTAGTGGGGTCAAATTGATGGTCGTTTTTGACTACAATGGTGGAAATTTGATGGAGCGGGATCATTTTTTTTTCTCAAGAAAACAAATTGCGAACAGCGTATGTAGTTTTCATTTGGGAAAATCCATTAATTTCCAAAACAAATGTTAAAAGCAAACAAATCATTAAATATACTGATCATTTTTGTACAAAAACTTGTATGAATAATCGTACAAATGTTTATTTGAAAATCTACTAGTGTATAGCCAACTTTAAACAAGTGGCTTACCTACAAATTAAATAAATAATACCTGCCCATTGACTCACATGGCTGATGTTTACTCTCTGAAAGAGCCATGCCTACTGAAGAATCATCAGTATCTGACATACTTACAGTTGTATCAGATGCCTGGTCCCTTCTGCAAGCTTTGGTTCCTTCTGCCAGCCCCTGTGTGTCTTTATGTAGGGACCAGCAGATTGAACCATAGGGCCCATAGGGGAACCAGACTTTCAACAATCCCATATGTTTCAGATTCTCTTCAGCAAGCCTTCCTCTTCAAAGGAGCCAGGATCGGGAACACAGGCAGTGGGATGGGCAAGTGTTAATTCTTTTCTTTGCAGGCAATACTAAAATATTGTCAGGGTCACTTTAAGATGGACATGAACAGTAAGATGTGTCAGAACAACCAATATTATCATCAAACATTTAATTGTAGTAATCAAACAAGAATAAAATAATAAAATGTAATGTATGCATATGCCAGTAGTTGCTTTACCTGCAGTTCCTTTCTTCTGTTTCCCTGGAACACAACTTCATATCAAGGCTGTTATAGAAGCAAATAGAAGGATTATGCTGCTGTTTTATAGAATTACACTAGATCATCTACTCTGAGTTATAGGAAAAATGTTGAAGGATGAAGTAAACAAAAAATGTACTGTTACGGCCCTTGTGAATGGGCTGTTGTTCATGTCAAATGGGTTTTGCACACCCATAATCTATGGACATGCAAAACCAACTTGAGCCTTGGTTCACACTGGTGAGGATTGACACGC